TCTGCTTCGTCTCTGATTGACCTAGTGGCAGTAGGATGTTGATGGCTACCCTCGGTACAACATCCAGCCAAGGACCCAGGAACTTTGCTGGATCACAGTTCGAGTGGTGGCAGGAAGGAGTCAGCGGAATGGGGAGGACGTAGTTCTCAGCAAACCACACATTTCCAGTGCTGGCTCCCTTGTTCAGGCTCTGAGTGCCTTTGAACGAAAGACCACATCCTGCCCGTGTCAGTATTATATACGCAGGTCCTTTCAGAGATCAATCTGAACAGCTTCAGAATTGATCGAGAGCACGTGATGATCATTGAACTTTGTATTTAAGACTTGGGTTCTTGGAGAGGCTCATAGCTGCTGACTCACTGGCCCTGTTCCCTGGCATTGTTCACACCCAGGTGTCCTCGAAGAGGGGGCATGCCGTGTACACTAATACCCTCATTGCCTTGAGAGACAGCTGGGTACCGCAGGGGCTGGAGTGCCTTCTCTGCCCCTCCAGCACCATTTTAATTTAGTGTCCATCCTCTCTCCGTACCTTTCTCTCACCTTTGGTGTTGTTGCTTTACCCTGGCCAGGCTATGCACATAAATTAATAATTAATTGGAAACTCAGGTATTTTAGTGGTGGTGCATAAACATGCAGAGTAACACAGATGATTGGGTGATGAATGAAAAAAACATCAGTTGGGTGCGAAAGCACTTCTTTTACGTTCTTTTCAGAGAGAGGTGGGCACCACAGTGGTTAAAGTGTATCATTTCTCCTCCCAACTTCATTCGGCTGCTGGTTTATTTGGGGGAAGAAAGAGCTGAATTTTTGTGGTACAGTGGTAGTGTCCCTCCCTCTGAGCCAGAAGGCCTGGGTTCAAAACTAACATGATCCAGCCATGTCTGATCAGGTTGATGTTTTTCAAAAATCAGTACAAAAAGAGCTGGTTAATAGCCACAGTGGGAGTTGTTTCTGGACAGGTAAAGGATCCAGTCAAAGAAGGTAGAATCTGGAGTTTGCAGTGAACTGTAGCTCTACGATACAACAGTTGAAAACTTGGAAAGTCATTTGTAGTTTGATTCAGCTATGGATATCAGTCAATTAAAAAGTCCCTAACCCTGGCACTTCAGGATCTTGCAAGCAACCATACACTGTGGATTGCCCTTCCAGTAAAGCAACTTCTCATCTACTGCTGAGTTCATACCAGCTGCGGCAGGATGAGGCATTTAAAGACGTATTAATTCCCTACCTAAGGGCCTCAATTGGTAGCGAGTAGGAAAGCCGTCCACTGGCCTTCCAAACAAAAACTAAATCATGTTGGAGTCAGGAAGGCAGCAGGTCCACAACTCTCCAACCTACCACCCGAATAAATGCCCTGTCTGCCACCAAACACACCACAGCACACAATTCCACCCTATGGTAACTGGTGGCCATCCACAGCCTAAAGCACAGCAGCCAATTTTCAAACCAAATGTGACATTGCAAGACATTTTCAGACTGATTCCTGCCATAATTTGTATGAGATTGCACTCGATTCTATTTTAGGTCATTTCCATGTGGGATTTCAAGTAACCTTGTTGTTCCTATTTGGAAACTAGTTGAATAACATATTGTACTCCACTCATACTGGCTCCTAACATACTCGTTCACAGTGCGTCAAAGCCTTTAGGATAGTGATAACCTGTTCAAGAGAAAGTTTGCAGGGATGGAAAATATTGATTTTACTGTTGGAATTGAAAATTCATTTTCTGATTTGACTTGATTTGTTACACAATCAAACCAAGAGCTGAAAATAAATGGTTGGGATTGGCTTTTCTACATTAATGATTCTCAAACTGTACTCTCCCACTCCTGGTGTGCTCTCATACCTCACTCAACTCTTGCTCTCTGCAAACTTCTTTCCTGATCTTATTCAATAATCCACTGCCTGCTCTGCTTCTGTTTAAGATCTCTCCACACGGTAGATTCAACGTTTTAGAAATTAGAGAAAAAAAATAAATTTTACAATCTTGCATGAGAGTAAGGAAGACCGAGGAACAAAAAGGAGAAACAGAAATGAAATGGAGTGGGACATACTTGGTCAGATGCATTTAGGTTCTGAATTTTGCGTTCATGACAAATAGTTTCAGTCTTGTCCAAATGCTAAAGTCTCAAACTTACTCAGAACTAACTGAATGAATTATTCCAGAGAATCTCACTTTATGAACAGTTTGGATCTCAACTGTGGTTTTATGCTTTATTTACACTAAATCTAAGACAGTGGTGCAGGCAGAAACCTTTTTAGATTAAATCTCCCATAAAATAGGCACACAGTGAAGGAGGAACATGACAAATCCAGCAAGGAGACAGGGTATTGTGTGGAGGGGTGGTGGTTTGTAGTTGTGGAAAAGAGAGAGCGGCACAGAGAAGCAAAGAAAGAAGAATGTAGCAAAGATATAGAGAGAAGTTAAGGCGACCTGTCAAACCAGAAATGACTTGTGCAGGCGAGAAATGTAAACAAGAGAAAGCGAAAGTGGAGAGAAGGAATTAGAAGTGAACAGGCAAATATAAACAAGAATGACATTCATAAGACTTCAAAGAAAACTTTTATTATCACAATCCATAGCCGTTGGGGAATAGTCTATAAAAATGTTTTAGTTAGACCAATGCTGCCACTGTAAGCTAAGAATGATTCCTTTTTGGTAGAAAATATCTGAAAGCAGATGAATAAAGTTGGCTGCTTCAAGTGACATCAGTTCTTTGACCAAAACCTCCAGTAGCATCCCACCCATCTAAACTGCACTCGACAAATTAAATTCAATTTTTTTGAGGAGATGATATCCATGCAGATTGAGGTATGCAACAGCTGCTTATAAACATCACGTTGCTTGCAATTACAATGGTTATGGTCAGACGATGGCGGTTTGCAGCATCGTGCTTGATAAAGAAGGATCAAAAGCATCCAAATTTCAAAACCATCAGAAAAAACAATTCACCACCTTACACTGCGAGCACAGACACATTTCCAAAATCTGCTCAACTCATCTATTTCTAACTGTTCATGGCCTTAAATCCATTCCAAACACTGCACTCAGTTTAGGGGTTTGAATTTTACAGATGACACTTTATATTTGCAACAATATTTTTAAATGTATAAATTTTATTAAATGATTGAATTGATATGAATTCAATGGATGAGAGGAAAATGCAAAAGTAAATTGCAATTTACCAGGTTAGTGGGGAATCTGGGCCTGCCAGTGTACACAGCCTTTTGACCCAGGGAGATAAAGCATGCAAACACTGTTGCTAGGTTTCTATCATTGCCAGCAAAAATGATCACATCATCTCAATTTAACCTCAGCCAGCTGTGTTTAGAATATTCACATTTTAAAATTGAAACACCAGTAACTCACATGTAATATAATGATTAATTTTCACCAGTTTTATAAGTTGTAATTTTGATTAGATAGAACATTGTTTAAGATGAAACAACGTTCATTTTATTTTTATTTTAATCACTTCTGGACAAGCTTTTATGGCATACCATTGTGCAGCAGCACATTGGTTGAAAAACACTGATGTACATGAAAATCAGGAAAATCTCTATCATCTAAAATAACAGAGATTTGAACTGAAGTAAAAAGATTGTCAGTGGAGAGTACATAAAAAAAGTAGAAATTGAAGGCAGCATTCAAAGTAGTTGGAAGTGGGTAGTGGTTCACATCTGGAGCCTTTTATGTACACAGGGTATATCAGAGATTTAAGTATAGAAGAAGAGAATCAAGTGCTGCAATGTTCTGATGATATGAAAATAAAGGATGCAGTTAATTCTTGAAAAGAACAAAGGAAACGGAAAATGCTGAGTGATGAGTTGGCAGAATTGTCTGAAAAAGCAGTTGATGTGTTGGAATTTCAATGTCATTAAATGTAAGGTGACACTACTCGATAAACAAAATAACACCATAATCCTTACTCTGAATGGAACTATATTTGCTGCTGTGGAAGAACAAAGGGCTTTAACAAGGCCATGAGACGGAGAAACTAAAGTAGGTTTTCAGCCCTTTGAGCTTGCTGTATCGCACATAAAGGCTCCTTAGACGGCATCTTCCAAATCATGTCCACCACCATCTAGAAGGACAGATACATCAGAAAAGCATTATCTTCACGTTGCCCTCCAAGCCACACAGCTTTGAATTTTGAAATATATTGCTGATCCTTTAGTGTTGCCGGGTCAAAGTCCCTACCTAATGGTATTGCTGGTGTACCTTTAGGATGTGGACTGCAGACGCTCGTGAAGGCCCTCACCACCACTTTTTTTAAGGGCAACTAGTAGTGGGCAATAAATGACGGCCATCCATTGACACCCACATCCCATGATTAGATAACAAAAACAACATAAGGTCTGTGGAATATAAAGGATATAATCTGTTATGAACTCGCATGAAACCACATGTCCTCAGTTTATATACAAAAGCTAAATGCTACAGATGCCGAATATCTAAAACTAAAAGTGAGCTTTCTGGAAATATAGAGCCAAACTTGAATGCTGCCTAGCTCTATTTCAACAGACCTGATGGGTCATGAATCATGAATGCAGTAGTATTTAAAATTAATAATGAATGGAAAAGGATAGATAGAAGCAGGCATGTTGGGGTCAAGAACAATGGCTCAGAGGCAGAAGGTTAAATGGAAGTGATTTTAACACAGAGGGTAGGAGAAATATCTGTCCTGCTGAGTGACGAAGCTGCAAAATTCACATCCATGGTTTGAGGCTAAAGCTATGTCAACATTTTAGATTGGATATATGGATGAAAGGGAAATGTTTAAAGGGAAATTGGACAGATAAAGGTGATTCAAAATGTGAACTATGTTGGTGTCTAATCATTGGGACTGCTTAACTGTTTCATTTTGCACTTTCAGTATTTTTATTCTATTCTTCTAACCACCAAGTAACTTATACTGTTTGAATTCCATGAAAAAACTGATGTTGTGATTTGCTATATGAGCTTCTCTCTTTGCTTTGTTTCATTATTCACTGACAGAATTTGACTGCATCTGCAATGACAGAGGATGATGGTAACAGCTTGGGTTCCCTAGTCTGTGCATTTAGTCCAGACGACATTAACAATTTAAACAACACTGTCTTCCTGGCGATTGTTGATCAACTTCGAGAATGTGGACGATTTGATGAGACGAAGAAGACAGCTCTTAGACAGAAGATCCTATCAGCCTATCCGTAAGTACAAACAAGGGTTAACTTCAGCTTTAGTTTAACAGATTCATCCGAGTTGCTGCAGGCATGAGGAACTCGAGTTAAAGAGGTAGACTGGAGAAGAGAAGTGAGAGAAGATTAAAGGGCTTCAATAAAGTGATGGAGAAGAACTGTTTCCCATGGGGCAGCATTGTGGCTCAGCACTGCTGCCTCACAATGCCAGGAATCTGGGTTCGATTCCAGCCTCGGGCAACTGTCTGTGTGGAGTTTACACATTCTCCCTGTGTATGCGTGGCTTTCCTCCGGGGGCTCTGGTTTCCTCCCAAAGTCCAAAGATGTGCAGGTTAGGTGAATTGGCCATGCTAAATTGCCCATAGTGTCCAGGGATGTGCAGGCTAGGTGGATTAGCCATGGGAAAATGCAGGATTACAGGGATTGTGTATGGGAGTGGGTCTGGCTGGGATGCTTTCCAGAGCGTTAATGTGGACTCGATGGGCCAAATGGCCTGCTTCGGATTCTATTATTCTATGACTTGTGGCAGAATCCAGAAAAGGAGAGCTCAGATTTAGTTCTGTTGTCATACAAAGTGATGGATACATGAGGAGAAACTTTTTCAAAATCAGGAATGCACTGTCTGAGAGAATGAGATGGAGGTTGGTTCATTTGAAACATTTGGAATGGAATTGACTGTCTACAAACAAAGGCTGTGCATGGTTTTTGGGAGAAGATGGGAAAGGTACTAGTTGCGTTGTTCATTCACAGAGCTGGTCCAGACAGGAGGCTGGATGGCATCCTTCTGGCCAGTAACAATTCTGTGGGTTCTGAGAGGTTTTCAGAATGGCTATAACCAATGTGCACAATACATTTCTGTGAAATATTGTCTGCGTTTTTTTTTAAACCTAGGCCTCTCTCAGAATGGACAGTCGACGAGCTCACTGAGTTACGTAGCCTACTGGCAGTTCTCACGTATGAGGATTTTAAATCAATCCCCAATAATGTAAGTAAAATAGCATAATGGTTCTATATTTGGTACCTGCACTGACAGATATTATTGCAGGTGCTGACCAGCAAAGATCAGACTTGAAATGTTTTCATGTGTCATTTATGAGCCACATTCACCAAACCCTCATTTTCCCAGAGAAGAGCTGCAAATAAGAGAGGGGTAGGCAAATAGGAGAGGGGAAACACTATCTCACTGAATCCCTAATTCTGCTGCCTGGGAATTTAGGGTCAATAGGATCAGTGAATATGTTTTATCTCCTTGGGGAAAGCGAATTATTTTTCATTCATGGGATGGAAGTATCCAAGACTGCGTATATTGCCTGTCCATAAGTGTCCTGAAGAAAGTGTGCTCAGCTACTTGCTTCAACCACTACAGTCCAGATGGTTGAACCCACAGTGCTATGAGGGAGGAAGCTACAGATTTTTGAACCATTGACAATGAAGAAACAGCAAATAGTTCTAAGTCTGAATGTTACTGCAGATTAGGGTGTTCCCATAACTCAGCTCCACTTGTTATTAGAAATGGGAGAGTTTTGGGCTTTGTAAGTCTTATTGAAGGAGCTACGGGGAGTTGCTCCAGTGTATCTTGTAGATGATACGCACAGCTATTACTATATAATGGTGGAAAGAACTAATGTTTAAAGATGGCTGTTGAAAGAGGGCTGCTTCATCTTGAATGATTTCAAACTTCTTGGGTGTTACTGGAGACACATTCATCCAAGCAAATGGAAATTATTTGATCACATTCCTGAATTGTGTACTGTGGATGGTGGAGAGGCTTTGGGAAGTAAAGAGCTGAGTTACATAATTCCTGGCTTTTGACTGACACTTGTCATGACACATTAAGTGGTTGCTCCAAATAGATTCCTGTCTTTATATTTGTCCATTATTGCTTGCAGGGGCTTTTCTAACTCCCCCTTTGCAATTAATTTCATCCCAAACAACAATGTATTTCTTGGGTACAGTCAATTATAAAACATGTTAACTTTGTAACATTTGGCTTTTGCTATAGGAGGACATCCAAACAGCACTCTTGGAAATCCTGTCTGCTCACAAGTCTACTAGGAATTTTGTCCCTCCTGATTTTGATAATTCCCCAAATGTCTCTGCACTTTATCAAAAAGTCTTCAGTACGCTGAACAGCACTTCACAAAGCAGGAGAAAACATGCAACAGGTACGTATCACAAAGGTCATCAATCTTCAGACCAAAAGCACCATGAATAAGGAGGTCAACAAAGCAAGATCAACATTGTAGTAACCGTGTGGGGAAATGTTTATCTTTTCTGCCTGGGAGTTAAGCAGTTTCTGTGAAGAAAAGAGCGGAAAATCTAACAGAAAATCACCCATTAGTAAAGCCAACTCAATTTTCATTTCATTTAAGTTGATAAGAGAAAATTCGAACAGCATCTGTGACTGAAATGGAATCTTTCCCATTGAAATTCCTTCTTTGCCCTCTCCCATGAGATGCTTAATGCTCACAAGTGTTCCCTCAAAAAAGAATGATAGGCCAAACAAATCCAGAACTCCCTGGACTCAAAAAAAGGAGAGAGAAATTAAGACAAAGAAGAAGTATGCTGAATAGAGGTGTCAGCAGAAAGTACAATTGAGAATCAAGTTGAATACAGAACGTTCAACAGGGAGGTGTAAAAGGAAGTAAGAGAAGCAAAGAGGAGTTATATAAAGAAAATAGCAGTTAATGTAAAGGGGAATCTTTCAGGACATAAATAGTAAGAAGTATCTTTCTTCGCACAATGAGTACATAAGATCTGGTATGCACTGCTGGAAATTTTGTAGAAGTAGGTTCAACCAGGGCATTCAAGCCAGCATTAGATGATGGCCTGAACACAAAGTCTGTGTCAGTTATGGGAAAGTTTCAGGAGAATGACACTAAGTCATAACACTCATTTGGAAAACTGGTGTAGACGTGATGGACTGAATGGCCTTCTTCTGGTCCATTAAATTTCTGTGAAAGTATGAATCAATTATAAGCAAAATAAGACCAGATTAGGGAAAATCCTTTGGACTGATAAATGTGGGTGAAGGATCAATTCATCTAGTATACTCGTGAGACGACATCAAATTTGAAGTTAAAACAACGTGCTATCTTTTAGTGTCTTGTATTTAATATTACAGATACAGCCTTAATTTGATTTTGGCTTTTCAGCAGTGTGAGCAGTCTTACCTCTGAATCGAATATTTTAGGTCCGCTGCAGAATATGGAGATGAATTTTTGAAGATCCATGAAGGAAGTTAGGTGGGGATCATGGAAGGTGGGACTATAGAAGCAAAGTTTTAAAATGGTGCATCAGGTAGTTGTTTTAGGGAATCCTCAACTTGGTGCACACATGCCGATAAATTTCAACTCCATTACTTTCTCAAAGTGGGCCAAAGAATTGTTGTGAACTTAATTTCTCGATAAACTGGTTCATATTTTCTGAGTCCATACGCCATGGACCCTGCAGTCAACTTTCACAGACTGTGATCTTTGTCTAAGATCACCAGAGTAGGTAAATCCTTCTTCTTATTTGTTATTTACTTTCCCTTCCAGATTGCCCAAAACGTCCCACCGCAGAGGAAATCGAAACTCTTGGAGAAGCCAACAGTTTATGGACTGTTGAACAGTTGAGTTGTATTTCAGTCGAAGACTTCATAAATTCACTGGACACACTGACTGAAGTTGAAGGCTTCAACATCGCTCAGCTGAAAGCATTAAAATCAAAGGCCTTGGAGGTGAGGGGATAGTGATAGGAGAGAAAACGCTTTGTTTGTCTCCTCAGCAAAAACTTGTGAACACATTCTTAAACAGTTAGAGTCCAGGTTATTTACAGCAGTTGATCAGATGGGTAGTCAATAAACCAGTTGCATCACTCAGCTGATGGTACTAGAGAGAGACTGGAACTAATTTCATGCTTGGTACACTGCTGCATAATAATGTTTGCAGCGGTTGACTCAAATGGAACAGGAATTCCATTGACCTTACTATGGAGGTGTGTCAGACATATTTCTTTGGGGAGAGCAAATGATCCTGTGATGGAGGTCCTTTCAGCAATCAGGAGAGGGTGGAAGAATTTCTGGCAGACCTGGAGGTGTCTTCTAACCCTTTCATCAGCATCCAAAAAATCCATCCTGCTATTTGATTTGGGTCATTTTTGGTACAGCTTTATAAATGTTGATTTTATCAATGGCATAGTACTCTTTATATAAATATTTTTTGAGGCTTTTGCCTTATTTGGCTGGGAGCTTGGCCATTCATTTTGAGGGCAACTCAACAATCATGACTTTGGGAAGCCAGTAGGTATAGGAAAATTGGAATAACATTGTGCTTTCTTACTGCCCCAATTTTTCAATGGTGAGATACAACTCACAAATATCAATCAGCTCCATTCTATTTATAGTAAAGGATTAAATAACCGTTCTTCCTGTAGTATTGAACTTAAATGTAAGAGGGAAAAAGTGTCTCTAATAGACAATGATTAGTTTTTACATTTTGTTGGGTTGTTACAATTTAAAAATAATTTGATTGATAATGTTGCAGCAAAGAATTTTTCAATGAAAAATCAAATCTTGCATTTAAAGGACTCGATGAACATGTCACACCTTCTCAGAGCACCCTGCCCAAAATTAGGCAGGTCAACGTATGCATAAAACACTACTATAATATGGAATCTTTAAACTAATTCAGCTAGAATTACCAACTAGGTGATTAGATTAAACCCAGTGGAGAACCATTTTCTTCAGGCTTCTCTGTAGTGAGTTGAAATGCTGTTAACTATTGGCATACAGCAGGTCAGTGGACTCAGCCAATAACTAAGCCAATGGCTACAGTTTTCAGGAAAACCAAGCAGACCCTCCATAAGTGTCTGATGGTTGAACCTTTTGAATCAGCCCCTGGCTCTGCTGTCAAGGATTGACATGTCTTACACCTCCACTCAACTTCATCAGGCTGCACCTCCACATTTGGCTTTCCATTTTGCTCTGTGTCTCATTGTATAACAATTTGTTGCCTTTAATCCCATTCAAAGGTTGTCTCTCAACTGTTGAGTATGAGGGAATTTTAATAAAGTGGAAAATGACTGACTGTCAGTGTTGCCAGAGATAACAGGGACAGCCAGACCTTGCTTGCCAGCAATCATCTCAATGGTATCCTGGGTGCAGCTAATGTTTGGTGCATCTGAGTAATTTCCTGTCCTTATGAACTTTTTTTGAACGTTTTGTAAGGAAAGAAGTATCTGTCAAAGAACTTGAAAAACAGATTGGATAATGAAATATCAAAGAGTCTATTATCTCACAGATCCACTCTGAACATTGAGACTCCAAAACTGCCAATTCCAACCCCTGAAGAGTTAAAGCATGTTATTGGGGTTACAGGATATGAACTTCATATGATTTGAGTCTTGGACAGCAGCACTTCCTCATCCAGGAATCTGGAATTATGTGCTGTTACCTTCAGGAGGCATAGTACTAACTACTTATTCACTTTCTGGAGTCTCTATATCCTGTAACCCCAATCAATCATTCAATTGAATGTGTCATAGCTGAAAGAAAAAGTGGATCTAGATGCCCAATCTCCATTATTCTAACATAATTTGCATGATGTATTGTACTTCACATGTGTGTTGCCAAATGACTACTCCTGGGGACAGAGAACATGGTACAATATGAACCCACTAAAGAGAAATGCTTAACTGTTGTTCAAAAGAATATGTATCACTGTCACTGTGATTTGGTTAATTGCACAATTACTCACTGAAAATCTTTTCTGACTTAATGAAGGCATTAAACTGTTTTTGGTATTACGAGGGCATTCTTGGATTATGGGGGTCTTGTGCATCACTACCTTCTTGCACTAGTCCAAGTTGCTGTATATGATGGTGACTACCTCTCCTTCAACACTTACATTCATTGGTCCTGCAATTTGAACCAGCTCTACTTCCACTTTTCACACTATTTTCATTCAGCGCAAACTATTTAATTTGAATTCAAGAGCTCATTCTGTCGAAGATCAAGTCCACAGACTCATTAGTATTTTGAAGTACTCCTCAGAGTTGCCTCGGAATATTAGATTCTGATGCAAAGTTAATAAAAGACATTTGCAGGTTATGAATTTAAACTCAATTTGTTACACAAAAAATAAAGCTCGCTACTTGAAGAAGTTGAGTAAGAGAACTTATTGGAGATTCTAGATGTTAATACAGATTCTGAAACCCTGTCATCATGAAGAATTTTACCTCCTTAATCAACCCATCTATTTATACGTGCAAAATATATGTGCAGCTCACTACCACCTTCTCAAGGGCAGCTAGGAATGGGCATTAAAGGTGGGCTGACAGTGAGAGTAATGTCTGACAAGTGAATGACAAAAATGCTGCCATTTTTGTACATCAGCAAAGCTGGAGGTGTAAATTGGGCTCAAGTCTACTCCAGCCAAAACCTACCTGTTTAATTGAATATTCTTGAAGAAATTAAAATAGTAAATGAAACAGTTCTGGGGCCTTGAGGTAACATGTTGATGAAGGTTACAGAAATATTACATAACCAACCAATTCAGACTGATAAGAAAAACTTGAGGTGCATAATAAGCTAGAAGTAGCATCTAAAGGGAAACCAAAACAGAGAAGGGATTGAAAATTAACTGGCAGCCTGAGGCATTAACTTGTAAACTAATTGAGAATGAGCATTAATTTGTGTATTAAGGTTGTAAGTCTGTTTATTGTAGCATGCAGTGACTGATATGATATCGCGGTTTAAACCAAATCGCAGTAAAAATGGTTTAAGAAAATCACAAAAGGCCAGCTTCATGTTCCCTTTCACTGCATCTTGAGCATTTTTTGTTATTTACTAGATAGCAATGAGACTAGACAAAATTTTAACACCATGTTGATATTCATGCTATTAGTGGAGGGACTGTTGTGAATGATCCTGTATTTTTTGCTGTTTAAGATGTAATAGAAGGTTAATTAAAATGCAAAGCAGGAGACGAGTGTTTGATTCAAATTGCTGCAATATTATTCATTAGAGCTATTAATAAGTAGTTTGGGGGAATCATTTTCTCATTTATTTAAATTAAGTTTGTTGATTTCAGTGGACTGAAAACAGGAAAGTTGTGAATGTAGGAACAGGAGCAGGCCATTCGGCCACTCAAAATTATTCCACCATAACATTTGAGGCCAACTGCACTTTAACTCCATTTACCCACGTTTGATCCACATCCGTTGATAGCTTTACCCATTTAAAACCTGTTGATCTCAGGCTTAAAATTTAACCAGTATCCACAGTCTTTTGGGAAGAGCATTCCACCTTTCAGTAATCCTTTGGGTGAAAATTCTTCTTGATTTCACTTCAGAATGGTTTAGTGCTAATTTTGAAATTGTTGAGGTTTGAGATTCAGGATTCTTTTTTTATACCCATTGAATCTTTTTTTATATTTAAATTTATCAATTAATTCATTCCTCGAACTTTTAAACTCGTGGGAATATAACACAGCATGTCTTCTTCATTATAGAATCCCTACAGTGTGGAAGCAGCCCATTCGGCCCCTCAAGTCCACCACAACCCTCCAGAGAGCATGCCACCCAGACCAAATCCCTGTAGCCCAGCATTTCCCATGGTTAATCCATCCAGTCTGCACATCCCTGGGCACTTTAGCATTGTTAATCTACCTAACCTGCACACCTTTGGTCTGTCAGAGGAAACACATGCAAACTCCACACAGGCAGTTAGCCAAGGGTGGAATTGAACCCAGGTCCCTGGTGCTATGAGGCAGCAATGCTAATCACTGTGCCATTGCCTGAAAGGGTTAGTTCAACTTTTAGCCACAGTTCAATTTTGGTAAACTAACATGGCACGTCTTATATTTCCATGAGTTTAGAAGTTTGAGGAGTGAATTAATTGATGTATTTTAAAGAAAGACGTGATTCAATAGATACAGAAAAGAATCCCGAATCTCAAACCTCAACTACAATTTCAAAATTAGCACGAGAATATTCTGAAGTGAAACCAGCAAGCATTTTCACCCAAAGGATTATTGAAAGGTAGAACTCTCTTCCCAAAAGACTGTGGATGTTGGTTAAATTGCAATTTTAAGACTGAGATCGATAGGTTTTACTGGGCAAAGCATATGGATCAAATGTGGTTAAATGGAGTTAAGGTGCAGACGGCCTCAAATGCTTTGGTGGAATATTTTGAGTGGATGAATGGCCTGCTCCTGTTCCTACATTCACAACTTTCCTGTTTTCAATAAACCTTTCCAATGCAAATATGTATTTTTTGAGGTACATATACTTTCAAGTAAACACAATATTTCAGTTAAAGTATTATTGAAACTCTATTGTAATAAAATCATGGTAATGTAAGGGATTCAGTGAGACCTTTTAATTGTCTTGGAATTCTTTGACCAGTTACCAACCAATTGGCCCAAACCAATAAATAAAATCTTGTGTTCCTGAAGGATACACTATGATATTGGCACAAGTATTCCAGTCATAGAAAATGCATTTTACAATAATCATAATGTCTATTTTAAGGATGAAATTCATTAAATTCATGATAACCGTCATCAGCAAAAGGGAAGAAAGTGAGAAAACCTGTCAGTGTTTTATGTAGATCTGGGAGAGGCCATTCATCCCATTGAGATGGTTGCACGATTTCATACAATCATGGCTAATCAAATATCTTAATGCCTTTTACCCACACTATCCCCGTAATCCTTATGCCATTTGTCGTCATGAATCTATGAATCTCTACATTCAACATACTCAAAGAGTGAACTCAGCTTTCTAAGGTGGAGAATTCCAAGGATTCACAACATGCTGAATTTAAAAGAAAAAATTCTACTTAACCTAGTCCTAAATAGCATCCCCCTTATTATTAAATTGTGTCCCCTGTTTCAAGATTCCCAGGGCTGCATCAACCCTATCTATCCCTCTAAGTTTTTTGTAGGTTTCAATGAGATGCTTTCTCATTCTTTGAAAAATGTAGACAGTACAGGCTGAGATAGTAGGAACAGTTTTTTTTTTTTTTTTTTTTTTTTTTTTTTTTTTTTTTTTTT